GCCTCTAGGTGTACGCCTCCCATGCCTTTTAAAACACTACTCTCGAGATAAGGTCCCTTCTTTGACCCAGGCCTTTCATCAAATGGTTCTAACCCAGTTTGAAATCAAGATCAAAATTCTTAGATCTGACAATGCCAAAGAGTACTTTGCAAAACCCTTGGCATCATATCTCCTAGATCATGGGGTCATTCATTAGAGCACCTGTCCTCATACACTTCAGTAGAATGGGGTTGTTGAGAGAAAAAATAGACATATCCTAGAGGTAGCCAGAAGGATCATGCTCAACTCTAACGTTCCCATACGCTTCTAGGGGGATGCAATTCATACAGTTGTTTACCTTATTAACAATGTTCCCTCACGGGTTCTAAACATGAAAACACCACTCAGCCTCTTGTATCTAGACAAGGACTTGTTCACTATTCCCCTCAAAACTTTTGGGTGTACTTGTTTTGTTCAAATCCTTGGACCTCATCGCTCCAAGTTTGATCCAAAAGCTCCTAAATGCATTCTTAGGTATGCACAAAGTAAAAAAGAATATTGCTATTATGAGCCTGCTTCAGGGAAACGTTTTGTGTCCATGGATGTCACCTTTTTTGAGGATATGCCCTACTATCATAGAGCTTCTCCTCAAGGGGAGAGTAGTGAGGAAGGGATTTCAGTTTCAGCCCCAAGAGTTCCGTTACCTGTTCCAGTTACTGAGGGGGAGTGTCGTGAAGAGGGCTGTCAAAAGTGGAGGGAGTTGAGAATGTATCACAGAAAGTGGTAGAGGCAGGTTGATTCCCGTCCTCAACAGCAATCCAGGCCAATCCCAACATCTTCAACAACCCCAGATCCAGACACTACCATTGCTTTCACTGTTGAGACAACCATTGTAGATACTACAAATACTTTGCCTGAGCCTGACACTGTTGATCCTCAGCCCCGCCTTTCGATCTTGATCTTCCAATTGTAATTCATAAAGGGAAGCACCGTTATACCTCATCCACTACCCATTGTATCTCCAAGTTTCTTTCCTATGGTTGTCTCTTAGAATCTTATAGATCTTATCTGGCATCTATTGCTACTATTCCTATACCCAGAACAGTACAAGAAGCTCTATCGATACCTGAGTGGAAGGAAGCGATGAAAGCATAAATGGATGCTCTTGTTAAGAACAATACATGGGAACTAGTAACCAACTTGAGGGGAAGAAACTTGTTGGGTGCAGATGGGTATTTACAGTAAAGTATAATGTTGATGGTTCTGTAGAGAGGTATAAGGCTAGACTGGTTGCAAAGGGATTCACACAAACTTATGGCATACACTATATGGAAACCTCTACACCAATTGCAAAGATATCAGAATCCTACTATCCACTACAAACTTTAAACAGCCACTATTTCAAATGGATGTGAAGAATGCTTTCCTCAACAGAGACTTACAAGGAGAGGTGTACATGGAGTAATCCCCTGGTTTTTATAGTACAAAAGCAGGAAGGAAAGTTTGCCTTCTTAATAAGGCTTTATATGGGCTGAAGCAATCTCCGAGAGCTTGGTTTGACGGGTTTAGACTAGCTTTGGAAAAACTTGGTTACACACAGGCTCAGTCATATCACACTCTTTTCTTTAAGAAAATAGACTCTTCCCTGACCCTACTGGTTGTCTATGTGGATGACATTGTGATAGTAGGCAGTGATACTGGGGAGATTGAATCACTTAAACAGCATCTTCACAAGGAATTTAAAGTTAATGACTTAGGGGAATTGCGTTATTTCCTGGGAATTGAGGTAGATCGATCAAAGTATGGCATTTTTATCTCTCAAAGAAAGTATGTTCTTGACTTATTAGAGGAAACTGGAAAGTTATGAGTAAAGCCTGCCGATACACCCATTGAGCAGAACCATAAAATAAGTGCAGAGAATGGAGAACCACTTAAGGACAAAACTATGTATCAAAGGCTAGTTGGAAAACTACTTTATCTTTTCCTAACTCGGCTAGATATCTCATATGCTATCAGTGTTGTTAGTCAGTACATGCATTCTCCCAGGACTACTCACCTCATTGCAGTGGAAATGATACTTTCTTATTTGAATAAATGCCTAGGGAGAGGCATACTCTTCAAAAATAGTGGTCACATGAAAATAGAGGTATATACAGATGCGGATTGGGCTGGATGTGTTGATGACAGGAGGTTTACCTCTGGATACTGCGCATTTGTGGGAGGGAATCTTGTTTCCTAGAGAAGCAAGAAACAAAATGTTGTTGCTCGTTCTAGTGCAAAGGCTGAATACAAATCCATGGCCAATGGTGTTGCAGAAATATTATGGCTAAAATCCTTGCTTAATGAGCTGGAAATTGATTATGAGAAGCCTCTGATGTTGTATTGCAATAATCAAGCTGCAATTAATATTGCCCACAACCCAATACAGCATGACAGGACTAAGCATATCGAGGTGGACAAACATTTTATCCAAGAGCGAGTTGCATCTCAAGAAGTGTGCTTTCCTCACATTGCCTCAGACATGCAGTTAGCTGATCTCTTCACCAAAGCAGTCACAAAAATCAAATTAGAAACAGATTTACGCAAGTTGGGCATGACAAATATCTACTCCCAACTTGAAGGGGAGTGTAGAGATAGTTAGCATCTTCAAGTGTGTGGTTTCATACCCACACTTAGTTATTTTTTATTCTTTTTTAAGTTGGGCCGGCTGGCCTTGTTTATCCTAGTTTATGCTTTTGTTTGAATTTTATTCTAAATAGGATTAGAGTATGATTTTTATTCTAAGTAGGATTAAAATAACTCCTATTCTTGTAAGGAGATTAATCTATATAATAAAAATTATGGGGCGGCAGAATCAATCAACCGAACCCCTTTCTTCTTCTCTCTTCTCTTCTCTTCTCCTCTTCTTCTTCTCTTCTTCTCTTCAAAGCCTAGTTATCCTTTCTTTTCTGAATTACAGTAGAACAGAAATCTACTTGGTTTTATTTAAGTCAAAAGAAATACCAAAATTTAGGTCCATATCCAGTCTACCCCTCCCAAGACCCTAGAAGGCTAGGACCAACATTAGGGAGTCCACCTTATTAAAAACAGGATGCCCCAAGTAATCACCCATAAACAAATAAATAGGGCATTGACAACAAATAGAACTGATTAATAATTTATTATGGGTGTAACCAGTGTTTTAAAAACTAGCTCAAAGGTTGAATCAATTTTCCCTTTGGTTCAATGGGTCAACGGTTCAACTGTCCAGGTCAACAGGTCAACTAATGATATCATCAATACAAAAGATTCCAAAAAAAATACCAAAACCAGTAACCCTTGAATGGATCAGACAAGTCAATGGTTTTAACTATTTGTGTCAACGGGTCGCTCGCCGAGTCAATGGTTATTTTTTTTTTTTTGTAACATAGCAGCTTAGAGGTTGACCCAAAACCAAGGTCATGACCAGGTCACCAGTATGATCAGCCAGGTCAACAATGGATGTAACCCATTGCATGTTTTGCCAAACACAATCAAAGTGTGATTCAGATGAGGTGCAACCTTATGACTATTCAAATTTGTGTTTCCTATTCTAGTTCTAAGCACCAACACTTTCCCCTACCTACTTCCACACAAATTTGGCATCTGAACATGGGGAAAAAGAAAATAGTTATATAACTTGTTTCCTTTTCCAATTACTCATTAAGTGCTTACAAAATTCGGTATTGCTAATAAAAAAAGATGTATACCATGCTTACCCGTAATGCTAAAAGAAAGTGACTAAACATTCAACCAACATCTCTTAGTTCACAAATGATCCTTATAATAGATTTATAGTTATTAGTATATACAACTTATGCATGAATTAGTTATATTCATAGCCACAGACACCTCATGAAAAATTCACTAATTACTCACCAGTATCAAATTATGAGCATAATACGAACCAATTTACATGGTTCTGCTTCATAACCCCACTGTCGCCCCCTGATATAGGATCAACTACTCTGATATTAATTTATGTAGGACTGATATGTTCCATGGCTGGACAAGTAACAACTTTGAGAGAAAATTGAAAAAGGACATGATATTTTTCAGGGGTTTAAGTCCCATGTTTTGGTTTTATGAGGCTAGGAGCAGGCTCTAGAGAAGCTGGATGAAGGGTTGTCTAGGGTAATGGGTCTTTGTGATAATGTGATTTGATTAGAAAGTTATACATCTATGAAATTTGGTTTTATTATTAAGAACAGTTTTATCCAGTTTTCCTAAAAAAAAAGGAAAAAAAAAAAAGAAAGCCAATACACAAGGGAAAAAAGGGAAAAAAAAAAGAAAGTCTTGCACAATAAATAAGGCTGTGTTTTGTTGCAATGCAAATTTATTTGCACTAGTACAAATGAATGGGAGTGCAATGTAATAAATGCAATTTCTTGTTTAATTTTGTTTTGGATTTTACTTTATTCTGCTTCATGTCTTAAGTTACTTCATTGTACTACAATCAAAAAAATAAGCTAAAATTTGAAATAAAAATGGGTCAGTTTACACTCAAATCATTTGCACTGCCATGTTTTGCATCAGTGCAAATTTATTTGCATTGCAACCAAACATAGAAACAAAAAAAAAAAAAAAACAGCGTAAGCCGAAAGAGATTTTTTTTTTTTTGATAAATAACCGAAAGAGAAAATATTAGAGAAGTTGAAATACATTTCACTCGGCACTGCAAAATAGCTCGACCATTATAATCTTGAAGTTGGCCGAGTCTGAAGGTAAAAAATAATGTAGGTTCACCCTTTCTGAACAAGTATGTAAAACGTAAAAGTAACAGATATAACTAAATTTGAACAAATTCTAAGGACCCATAAACAAATTGTTACTCTTCGCGCTGTAGAAAGTACGAGTAAACCAAATAGACAACATCCCACAGCAAAGGAGAAAAAAATAATCATCACAATAGAGGAATAGAACCCCATAAGCAAAAATTAAGAAACAGCAAAAAAAAAATCCAGAAGCAATTGGACAATTTACCGCTTTATACAGGATGTTACCTCAACGAAATGGGGGCGAAGGTCTTTAATAATGGCTCGGATCTTGAAGTACGAGGAATTCTGAATATCAGCATAATCGAGCTTTCTCTTCCTGTTTTGAGCAGGAGGAATCTGAGAAGGGAGGTTTTGTGCAGTGTTTCCAGGTTGAGTTTTCGGGACTTCAGCCGTCGTCCCCGTTGCAGTAGCAGCATTCGCCTCTGCCATGGATCTCTCGCTTGCTCAGCTCTCTCCAGCGCACGGAGAAAATTCATTTAAGTAAAGCGGTCTTCATGTTTTCACTTGGCAAGTAAAAGCGGTCTTCATGTTTTCACTTTTGAGACCAAATCAGCCCCAACAACAGCCCACAGCACATCCCGCCGTGTATTGAGAACATCTTCCACTGATATTTTCAGAAATGATGATGTTATTACAGGAGATGCTCACAATACACGGCGGAGATGTGCTGCGGGAAGTTGTGGGGGCTGATAGTATATGCATATAACAGTAAATATGTAAATCGGGCTGGGCCGGGCTGTGCTTCCCTCCCCTATGGTAAGTTTGGGGGTCACCCGGCACGGCCCATGACCCAAGCCTATATAGGCCCGTGTCATGTTATTCCGTGCCGGGCCCCAAGTTTAGGCTAAGCGGGTTATAGGCTGTGTTGTAGGCCTGGGTCGTGTTAGGCTGGGCTACGAGTTGGGCCTTGGCCTGGGCTGAACCGGGCCAGATTATTTTTGTTGACATTTTGATTTTTTTAATTAAAATTAAAATACTTAATTTTCCTTTGAGAATAAATTAGAAAAATAAAAATTCTAACAAAGAAATAAAAAAATACTTAACAAAATACAAAATGAACAACAAATTAAAAAAGAATAAGAATTTTATTTCAGTTAAATTTGAATAGTACAATGGTCAAAAAATACTTAACAAAATGGAATAAAATATAAAAAAAAATATAATAATCATAAATTGAAAATAAAAAATTATTGTTGAAAAAATAGCAAATAATTAAAATTAAATTAAATAACAAAATTTATAATAATGTTAAAAAATGCTACAAAATTATTGAGTATACAAAAAAATATTGTCTTTATCATTTTTCTTCAAGCTCCACTTGCATTTCCATCTTGATTTTTATCATATGCTTCAAGTGAATCATCAGGTGCATTGTCATGCCCTCCTTGGTCTTATAATCTATCATCAGCATCCAGTCAATCTTTGAAACAGATACACATCTCCAAATTTTCATCATTTATGCTGCTTCTCTTGTCATCCAACAACCTACTACATATACTAAAACAAGATTGATGGAAATGTAAACTCCGGAGGGATTAGTAAATTACGTGTTATAGCATCAATGACCAAATAAATTTTTTCATATCTACTCCATCATGCTAAAATATCAAAATTATCTATTCCTTTAAAGTCAAAGGAATCACTTAAACTACAAATTTTTACTTGTAAATAAAAATTAAGTTCAACAAAAGGACTTATTGATGAGGTGGCAGTAAATTTCTGCCTCCTAAGACCAAACTATATTTTTCAAAAAACCTTGAATTCTTCAGAAATTTAGATTGCAAGAACCCGATCGATCAAGTTACAAGGAAAGTCAAGAAGTTAGAGGGTGCTCTACAAGCAGTTATTAAAGACACCTGGATCTTAAAGAAAACTTTTGAAACCTGTGTTTTTCGTTCTATTAGTAGGGAATTGATTGGGATTGCTCATTTCTTAGATAGCTCCTCCTGCCCCAACAAAGCGGTTTGGTTAAACTCTATCTCATCGTTTATTCTGTCTATTTGGGCAAAAGTTATCGAAAGTACTCAGGCTGTTTTCTGTTTTACCAAAAAAAAAAAAGGTAAATTACAGAAACCCCTTATACTATGAGGTTTTGTGACAAAGACCCCCTTGTATAATGTTTTGCGACAAAAACCCCTTCCGTTAATTTTCCGTTGAAATCCACCGTTTTAATCCCCAAACTACCCTTATAATAACCGGCGAAGAAACTTCCACTTCCGCCATTTAATCCCCTGTACTATCACTGCCGCTTTACAGAAAATCCTGAACTTTCTCCCTCTCATCCGGTTAGGATACAAACGGAGCCATTTTTTCTCCAGGTGAAAGAAACTTTCGGGAGCCATTTCTTCCGTATACATTTCTACTTCTCATCCGGTTAGGATAAATTGCTTCCGCTTTATTGAAGCTCTTAGTTTACATCACTTTTCTGAAACATTGCTTGCGCGCATGCCAACTTCTTGTTGGGTGCGCCATCATTTTCCTTGTCCTGCGTTAGCGCCCTCCTCGAGGGGTACAGGAGAATGTACTCTTTCGTCTCAAACCGTCGGATGTTCTCCGAGATACGCACCAATTTTCAACATTTCAATAGGGTGAAGGCGGCAGTCGATCCAGTCTTTGTAAGTTACCAGTCTTTCTCACTCCTGAGTCTTGAAAAATGTCAACATTTCAACATTTTTCCAACCAGGGTGAAGGCGGCAATCGATCCAGTCTCCGCTACAAACCATCTGAGCCAGTTGGAACTTTAATGCCCTCCATTTGTTAAACTTGGCGAAAATCGTGCACACATCCTTCGATTTGAATGGGTCGGGTCTACTTGTAGCGGAGCGGTGGCCGTTGCAAGAACCAGAACCATGATAACATTTGAACAGTTGACCAATCGGATCCACCACAAAACCGTCTCCTGCAGCAGTCTCTGGTCACCAGGGTGCATGGACGAGTTGATTTATGGCGTCTTCAAATTGAATTTGGCAATCACGTAGTGTGGCCACGAGAAGAGGATCGCCGTTGACCTTGGGGATAAGCTTCGTGGGTAAAGAAGCGAGCTTTGAGAGCTCGGTAAGGGCAACTTGGAGGGAGAGCTTGAAGAGCTCTTCTGGACCTGTGGTTTTCTGGGTGGCTAGTGAAGAAAGGCTGGAGAAGCAAGAATTGGGATGTTGTTTCTGGGAAGATGAACAGTGCTTTTTTGAATATTTATTATAAGGGTAGTTTGGGGATTAAAACGGCGGATTTCAATCGAAAATTAGTAGAAGGGGCTCTTTGCCTCAGGGTTATAGTATAGGGGGGTGTTTGCCACAGACCCCATAGTACATACATTTTCAAATAATCAATTATTAATTTTTTCTTTTTTATTTCTAATTTCAATATTCATATTCAAATAAAATATCTAAACCGTCTTTCTTAATTCGAGGATCTAATATTATAGCTAAACAATAAAAAGGAGAAATATTCTCCCAATATTTTTTAAATTTATTTTCCATTACTTCAACAATTCTTGTAAATTATGGATCTTTTATATATTTTGAAAAACGTTCACTAATCATTAATAATTGATTAACTAAAAGACAACTAGTTGGGTATAAACACACAAAAAAATCATTAGTTGCATCATAAAAATTGAGTAAAAAATCTCTTATACAAATTGTCATTTCCCAATCTTCCTCAAGTATAATATCATGTGGCATTTTTGCATTGTAAAAATCAGTAAGAATTTGTTTGTAGGGAATATAACTTTCTAACATAAAATAGGTAGAATTCCATCTATGTTGAACATCTAACAGAAAATGTTTATATTTTAAACTATAATTATAACATAAATATTTAAATTCTTGTTTTCTTACTCTAGAACATTTAATATATATAATACAATTTCGAATTTTAGAAACATGATGAGAAATAATATTTAAAACGTCTTGAATAAATAAATTTAAGATGTGACATTCACATCTAATATGGAATAATTTACCATTTAAACATGGTTTTAATTGAGATTTTAAAATATTTATTATTGAATCATTATTACTAGCATTATCAAAACTAATAGAAAAAAAAAAGTTTATTGTTAATTCCATAAGCATGTAAAGTATTTAAAATACATGTAATAATAGTTGGGCTAGTATGTGGCCATTTAAACCTAGTAAACTTCAAATTCTTTCTTGTAAAAGCCAATTTTCATCAATAAAATGACCGATAACACAAGTATAACTTATTTTAAATTTAGAGATCCAAATATCAAAAGTAATTGCAACTCTAGAATTATAATTTGATAAAATAAAATTAGATTTTGTTTATATGAATAAAAAATTTTCAAAGCATATGCTCTAATAGTATTTCTATAATTTTTTTTAAATTGAGGATTTATAGAATTACGTAAAAAATTTTAAAGTTTACTATCATCAGCTAATGAAAATGGTTATTCAGCATGTATAATATATTTTGCCAACTCTTGCCTCATTTTTTCTTGTGAATATTTAAAAATACCAAAACCCCTACGCTCAATTGGTGAGTAAATGTCTACCTAAGTGGCCAATACCATCCTTGTTACAGTAACTAAAGTCACTCCTACATTTTTTGCAAACAACCCTTTTCCCTTCCCCTCAACCTCCTCTATTTTAAATAATTTTCAAATCGGGCTAGTTAAATTAGTTTCCTTCTTTTTCTTTCCCCCAATACCAGTACTAGGGGTGGAAACTCCAACAATGTCAATAGCATGCATATCAATATTAACACTATCATGTTGTGACTGAATATTATTGCTAGCATTGAACATGTTGGGGAATTGGTTTCGGGAGGAGCGAACCATTTTCTTAATTCTAAAAAAGTAAAAATTAATTTAATTGCACTTACCTATATTGCTGGTTCAGAATTTCAACTTGATTTCAACGATTGAAGCCTCCAAACCTCCCAAATTAGTAACTTGAGATACTTGAGCAAGCCTTCTTCTTCTTGAAATTTGAAAAAAATCGAGACTTGAGAATTGGAGAGAGAGAGAGAGAGAGAGTATTGAGACGGTATAAGAGCTTGAGAGAGTATGAGAGGAGAATTGGTGAATTAGTGTGATGAAAATGATGGAGGATAGGGTTATTTATAGAAATTAAAATTAATTCAATTGCCCAAGATACCCTAAAAATTAGTTGTTTTTTAGTTATTAGGAGGGGTGTTTTGGTCATTGTAAGTCATTTATAACTTTACCCAAAATGCCCCCAAACTAGCTCTTATATAGCTATTGGTGGGTATTTTTGTCATTTTTCTCCCCCTAAAGCCAAAATACATGAATACCCCCTATATAGCAGTTTATAGCTATTAGGGGGGTATTTCTATAAAAAACCCCCAAAAAAGATGAAGCCATTGGGGTGGGTCTAGATTTGGGCGAGCCGTGGACCTAAAGCCATGGCCTAACATGGCCTGTGTGCCGTCGTGCCAGGCCGATCCAAAATCATGTCAGGCCACAGGTGGCACAACCCGATTTATACCTCTACATGCATAGTAATAAACAATAAATAAATGTG